CTCCTCCTCCTCCTCCTCCTCCTCCTCCTCCTCCTCCTCTCCCTTCTGCAAATCCCACTCCCCTGTAGCACTGATTGTGTTCTCTAGTTAGGTAATGAAACGTCTGCAAGAAAACCACCAAGCTCAGACAGCACCAAGGACCCCACAGTCGGTGTTGTCCTCCTCCTCCTCCTCCTCCTCCTCCTCCTCCTCCTCCTCCTCCTCTCCACAAACTCCTCTCCCTTCCAGCACTGCTGACGTTACCTAGGTTGGCAATGAAACATCCACAAGAAAACAACCAAGCTCAGAGAGCGCCAAGGACTCCTCAACCCAGCCCACGTCCCACCTCAAAGACCCGTCCCATCCACCTTCCTTCCCACCTGGGGGAGGTTCAGGGCAAGGGGGGGGGGCTGGACAGCAATAACAGGATGGATCCAAGGGAAATGACGGGGCATCTCCGGAAGTGGGTCTCACCGTCGTCTTCTGCTTCTTTTCTCTCAGTGGGAGAAGAAGAGGAGGTGTCCATCGGAGAAGCCGCTCAATGCATCGCGAAGGCCATGGATTTCAAGGGGCAGCTTCTGGTATCCTTTGTGAATAATTCCCCAGGCATTGGAGCAGACTCAGAAACTCGTCATCTTTTCTACAATACGGCTATTTCTTGAGTAACGACACAATTTCCATTGCTAAGCAAAGGTGTGTGTGTGTAATTAAGTAAGTTGCCACCAATTTTGCAATTTTACAGCCAGAATTCTGGGAGTTGAAGTCCGTACATCTGAAAGTTCCCAAGATTTGAAGTCCGTACACCTGAAAGTTCTCAAGATTTGGAAACACAAATTGTCGGTTGTTTCTTTAGCTATCTGCCTCATGTAGGTATTGCTCCCAAGAGCTCCCCTCTTCTCTGTGAACCACAGCCCTGCAAGGTTGGCCACCTCCAACCCTCCAAGCTTCTGGGTGAAGTTTTTAATCCTACAAAACACCAACTTGTCTTTCGTATGATCCGTGTTAAGATTGATCTTGGGTTCCTTTTCTTTAACCTCATCCCCTCCTTCAAGTTTGACGAATCCAAATCAGATGGTCAGTTCAAGAAAACGGCCAGCAACGTCAAGCTGAGGAGATATCTGCCCGACTTCCAGTTCACGCCATTCAATCAAGGTAGGAGAACAACATTCCAGTGAGGCCTCTTGGGTCCTCGTGTGCGACCTTGGGAGTCTTAGTCACATTGGAGTAGTGGATCTCCTTCACTCAATGAAGGTGACCCAACGATGTTGAAGACCTAAACACAACAGCCACGAGATTTGCAATTTGGTGTCAGGTTGATCCGTGGCTACCTAGTTTTGGTTTGTGTGTTGGCTACAACGGGCTATACCAAGGGTCTTCAAACTTGGCCCTCTTATGACTGGTGGACTTCAACTCCCAGAATTCCTCAGCCAGGCACTCATGCCTGGCTGAGGAATTCTGGGAGTTGAAGTCCACAAGTCATAAAAGGGCCAAGTTTGAAGACCCCGGTCTGGATCCAAGCCTGCAGTTTCATCAAAATGGCCGAATGAGGAATTCTGGGAGTTGAAGTCCACAAGTCATAAAAGGGCCGAGTTTGAAGACCCCTGGGCTATACAGTTTGATTATGGTTCAGTGTGCAGAGCTGACTTTGGGAGGAAAATTGTAGGAATGCAATTCGATTCGATTCAATTCAATTCCATATTTCTTAGAACAGGTCATACAATTTGATTATGCTTTGGTGCACAGAGATGACCTTGGGAGGAAAATTGTAGCAATGCAATGCAGTGCAATGCAATTTAATTTAATTTAATTTAATATTTAATTTAAATCAAATCAAATCAATTCTAATTTAATTTAATTTTTAATTTCATTTAAATTCATGTATTCGTTTAAATTCATATTTCTTAGAAAGGCTATACAATTTGATTTGATTTAATATTTAATTTGATTTAATTTAAATCAATTTAAATGAAATCAATTCTAATTTAATTTAAATCAATTTAAATCAAATCAATTTTAATTTAATTTAATTTAATTATTTAATTTTATGTTTTTTAGAAAGGCTATATAATTTGATTATTTTAACGTCCCGCGGGTTGAGAAACACTGATGTGGATGACTTAGCTTAACCCGCATAAAGCAAATCGGAACATATTTTTTTCTCGCAGAGGTCTTCCCGGAGCCCCCTTTGAAAACCCGGGACACAATTCCAAATTAGCTTTAAAAAAAAAAAATCACCCCTGCAGAAAGCTGCCCCCTAACTTTTTCTGCTTCAGGAGGGCGAATACTCTTCCCGTCCCCGCTTCCGATTTCATTGCCTTCCTGTCTTCTCCTCTCTCCTGCAGCCGTGAAGAAAATGTGCGACTGGTTCTGCGCCAACTACGACACCGTCCGGAAATGACGAACGGGCACCGCGATGGCTGTGCGCTAAGTAGGGGCGGCTGCGCCCTAAGTAGGGGCGGCTGAATCCTAAGTAGGGGCGGCTACGCCCTTGTCTCAATCTCAGGTAGCTTTTTTGGTGGAGGAGGGAAAAAAAAGGAAAATAAAAGAAGCCCTTAGAGTACCAAGAGCGGATTCTCTTTTTTTTGTTTTTGGTTTTTTTTTTTCAACACAGCAAACCCTGGGCACAATTTTTGCAATTCGAAGATGGGCCTTGCGTACTTAAAGCAAGCTGTTTGGATGACCGCTAGCCAGAAGAAGCCAATCCAGCGAGCAAATTTTAGTTCTCCACAGACTTGCCGTGTAGGCAGTGGTGGGATTCAAATAAGTGAACAATTGGTTTTCTGTGTGTGGATGCCGCTTCCGGAAGTCCATTCTGGGCCTGGGCAACAAAGAATTAGCTACCGGTTCTGCCGAATTGGTACGGTTCTGCCACCACTGCCCCACTCCCTTCTAGCACTGACAATGTTACCTAGTTTGGTAATGAAATGTCTGCAAGAAAACCAAGCTCAGAGAGCACCAAGGACCCCTTAGTCCTCCTCCTCCTTTCCACAAACCTGACTCCCTTCTAGCACTGATGATGTTACCTAGTTTGGTAATGAAATGTCTGCAAGAAAACCACCAGCTCAGAGAGCACCAAGGACTCCATAGTCGTCCTCCTCCTCCTCTTCTTCCTCCTCCTCCTCCTCCTCCTCCTCCTCCTCCCCACAAACCCAACTCCCTTCTAGCACTGATGATGTTCCCTAGTTGGGTCATGAAACATCTGCAAGAAAACCACCCAGCTCGGAGAGCACCAGGGACCCCACAATCTTCTCTTCTATTGGAGAATTACAGGGCCTTTTCACTGGTTTCTGCCAAAAAAACCCCACACATTCAAATCAATGGGTTCACTTAATGACGGTGAATTTGCTTAATGACTGCCAGGACAAAGGCCATAAAATTAACTTTTGGTCATTAGTTGCTTTGACACACAACGGTAATGGTTTTAACAGCCAGGTTTCCCATCCTAATTATGATCAAAAAGTCAAGATATACATGTATTACACGTAGTCCTCTACTTACGACCAACATTGGCCCCCCAAATTCTGTTGCTAAGCAAGACAGTTATTGAGTTTTGCCCCCATTTTATGACTTTCCTTGCCCCGTTCTTAAGCGAATCACTGCAGTTTTGGTTAATCACACGGCTGTTTTTTGATCGCAAAAGGGGATCGCATGACCCCGGGGATGCTGCGACCGTCGTAAATACAAGTCAGTGGCCAAGCGGCTGAATTTTGATCATGTGACCCCAGGGACGCCGTGACTGTCATAAATATGAGTCAGTGGCCAAGCGGTTGAATTTTGATCATGTGACCCTGGGGATGCGGTGATGGTCATCGGTGTGGAAAACAGTCACAAGTCACTTTTTTTTAGTGCCGTTGTAACTTGGAACAGTCACTAAATGAACTGTTTTAAGTCGAGGAGAAACCTGTAGTGTTTTGGATACACTTTGTCCCTCAACGTTGCTTGGTGTGAAGAAGCTGACCCATAAATCAAAATGAGAGGTGTCTTCTCCATAATAAGCTGGCAATTAGCATTATCTGAAGCTTAGAGACTTGCCAGATGTTGCTAAGAAAGTTTCTGCATTAAACAGCTGCTGCTGCTTCTGCTTCCAGCAAGAACAGCTGGAGGGTTGGAAACAAAGCTTGTATTTTGTGGATGGTGCCACAAAAATACAGACCCAGATTCCTTTTCAGAGGAACAATAGAATAACAAGAGTTGGAAGGGACCTTGGAGGTCTTCTAGTCCAACCCCCTGCTCAGGCAGGAGACCCTGTAGCATTTCAGACAAAGGGCTGTCCAGTCTCTTCTTAAAAACCTCCAGTTTTGGAGCATTCACAGCTTCTGGAGGCAGGTTGTTCCACTGGTTAATTGTTGTAACTGTCAGGAAATTTCTCTTTAATTCCAGGTTGCTTCTCTCTTTGGTTAGTTTCAACCCATTGCTTTTTGTCTTTGCCTTCATGTGCTTTGGAGAACAGCTTGACTCCCTCTTCTTTGTGGCAGCCCCTGAGATATTGGAAGACTGCTATCATATCCCCCCTCGTCCTTCTCTTCGTTAAACTAGACATACCCAATTCCAGCAGCCTTTCCTTATATGTTTTAGCCTCCAGTCCCCTGATCATCTTTGTTGCTCTTCTCTGCACTCTTTCTAGAGCCTCAACATCTTTTTTACATCATGGTGACCAAAACTGGATGCAGTATTCCAAGTGTGGCCTTATCAAGGCATTGTAAAGTGGTATTAATACTTCACGTGATATTGATTCCATCCCTCTGTTAATGCAGCCCAGCAGTGTGTTGGCTTTTTTGACTGCTGCAGCACAATGCTGGCTCCTATTTAAGGGATGGTCCACTAGGATTCTGAGGTCCTAGGTTCAAGATCTGGCATGACAACGGCCTTTTATTCAGAAGTGGCATTTTCTAGTTAGCAGTAGGTAGAAGTGTAGTTACTCTTGGGAGAGAAAGTTTTTGGTTTGTTTCAGATCCTCCAGGTCACGGTTAGGCAACCATGGCTCTTTTATGACTTGTGGACTTCAACCCCCAGAATTCCTGAGCCAGCATGGCTCAGCTTGGAAACCTCTCCCTTTCCCCTCAGAATGGCTGCCTCAGGAATTCTGGGAGGTGAAGTCCACAAGTCATGAAGGGGCCAAAGTTCCCCCATGCTGGCTCAGGAATTCTGGGAGTTGAAGTCCACGACTCATAAAAGAGCCAAGGTTGCCTACCTCTGGCCTAGGCCGCTTTATGACTCGTGGACTTCAACTCCCAGAATTCCTGAGCCAGCATGACTCAGCTTGGAAACCTCTCCATTTCTCTTCAGCATGGCTGGCTCAGGAATTCTGGGAGTTGAAGTCCATGAGTCATAAAAGAGCCAAGGTTGCCTATCCCTGCTCCAGGTAAATAGCAGTGAAATCCTATAGGGAAGGTAAAATAGATCTGAATTCAAAATACAGGCTGTCCTCAACTTACACACAGTTTAGTGGCCATTCAAAGTTACAACAGCACTGAAAAAAGGGAGTTACGACCGTTTTTCACACAAACGTCGCAGCATCCCCCAAAGTCGTGTGATCAAAACTCAGCCACTCGACAACTGACTCGTGTTTATGACGGTTTCAGTGTCGTGTGATCCCCTTTCGCGACCTTCTGAGAAGCAGCCAATGGGGAAGACAGATTCACTCTTAACAACCATGTCCCTACTTAAATACCGCAGAGGTTCACTTAACTGGGGTGAAAAAAGTCATAAAATGGGGCAAAACTCACTTCATGAATGTTTCACTTAGCAACATAAATTCTGAGCTCGTTTGGGATCGTAGGTCAAGGGCTACCTGTACTAACTTAACTGCAGTGATTCGCTTAACGTCCCACGAAAGGTCATAAAACGGAGCAAAACTCACTGAAAGCTGTGTCTCGCTGAGCGACGGATGGTGGTCGTAAGTTGAGGATTACCTGTATATCCCCTTTAATTATTTTTTTTTAACTTCACTTAGTTCCTTGGCCGCATTCGCATTTATAAAGAAAACATGTTTATTCGGCATACACACAGCAACGATCAATTTTAAAAAGAAGGCAGTACAGACTCTTAAGTAAAGCACTTCCTGGGACGACAGCTGTTCTGTGTCACTGTAAAATTTCACCCTGCCAAAATTCCTCAGAACAGCGTTCCGAGCAGATTTGGATCCAGGTTTATTTTCTCTTATTTGGAAGATCTCTAAAAGTGGAAAATTGCACGTTTACGAAGAAATCTGGTCCTTTTTTTAGCAGAATGGATTGTCACGGTGACAGCTGCTTTAAGAAAGATGGTTGTTTTAGATCAGGGGTCTTCAAACATGGCCCCTTTACGACTTGTGGACTTCAACTCCCAGAATTCCACGTGCCTGGCTGAGGAATTCTGGGAGTTGAAGTCCACAAGTCTTAAAGTGGCCAGATTTGGAAACCCCTGCTATAAGATAAGACAGGGGTCTTCAAACGTGGCCCTTTTACGACTTGTGGACGTCAACTCCCAGAATTCCACGTGCCTGGCTGAGGAATTCTGGGAGTTGAAGTCCACAAGTTGTCAAAGAGCCACGTTTGAAGAATAGATACTGCCTCCAGCCTAACGTAGGCAGAAAAATTGAAGGAGAACGTTAATGGTTCCCAGTCCAACAGATTTAGATGTTTTCTGTCCACTGTTGGTAGAAACTAGATTATCCAGCAGCGCAGAAGTGCTGAATCGAGAGTAATCGACATTATTCCCGTGAAAATGGGCTTGGCATGGAAGCCTGAAGCTTGCAGTCCACCAGAATCGCAACGCAGGAAGGGGCGAAAATCTCCCAAGGTTGATGCTGGTCAAGCGAGGTGGCTGTGTCCGGCCGCGTGAACGTGGCAGAAGACCTGGTGGGAGAGGGACTTCTTCCTGCAGGGCTGTCCAGTCCTGGTGACCCCTTGGCAGAAGGGCCTTGGGGAAGCCGAGCAGCTGGAGCTGCAGGGGGGGAAAAATGGAAGATGGCGATTGCTCAGGATTAAACCAGAGTTAGCTTGACTTCTCCAATTCTTCTCCATCATTACTCCAGGTTTTTTCCCCCCCAAACTTGACAAGTTGAAGACGGGTGGACTTCATCTCCCAGAATTCCCCAGCCAGCCAGCATGGCTGGTTTGGGAATTCTGGAAGTTGAAGTCCACTAGTCTTCAACTTGTCAAGTTTGCAGACCTCATGGTCTAGATTTTGGCCGGGGTTTCCTCTCCCAAGTTTGCCATTTAGTTCTCGAACGTTTCGTTACCAGACTAGGTCACCTCATCAGGGTGTCTAAACTATTTTGTATGGCAAAGAGCAGACCCAACATTTGCTTGTGTTATTTGTACCCTGGCTTTATTAGTTCCACAAATAAGGCGGCAAACATAACCAGCACCTCCCACCTCCTATTTTCCCTACCACGGCGACTCTGTGAGGTGGGCTGGGCTAAGAGAGGGATTGGCCCAAAGGTAACCAGCCGGCTTTCATGCCTAAGGTGGGACTAGAACTCACCGTCTCCTGGTGATTGGCCCGAAGTCACCCAGTCGGCTTTTATGCCTAAAGTGGGACTAGAACTCACATTCTCCTGGTGATTGGCCCAACGTCACCCAACTGGATTTCATGCCTAAGGCGGGACTAGAACTCCTGGTCTCCTGGTGATTGACTTAAAGTCACCCAGCTAGCTTTCATGGCTAAGGCGGGACTAGAACTCACCATCTCCTAGTGATTGGCCCAATGTCACCCAACTGGATTTCATGCCTAAGGTGGGACTAGAACTCACTGTCTCCTGGTGATTGGCTCAAAGTTACCAGTCGGCTTTCAGGCCTAAGGCGGGACTAGAATTCCCAGTCTCCTGGTGATTGGCCCAAAGTCACCCAGCCGGCTTTCATGCCTAAGGCAGGACTAGAACTCACCGTCTCTTGGTGACTGGCCCAAAATCACTCAGCTGGCTTTCATGGCTAAGGCAGGACTAGAACTCACCATCTCCTGGTGATTGGCCCAACCTCACCCAACTGGCTTTCATGCCTAAGGCGGGACTAGAACTCCCAGACTCCAGCTTTCTAGCCAGGTGCCTTAGCCACTAGACCAAGCGGGTTGAACAGCTACCCTTGAAACAGGAATATACTCATGTAGAGATTGAGGATAGGGATAAACTGAGCCCATCTATCCATTAGCTTGAGCAAATCATGGCTTAATAGGATGTATGCAGATGCAGATAGAACATTTGTGGAGAGATTGCTTTGACCCACACACCGGCCACTGCCAGCTTCCATACTCACACATCGCTGAGCAAGGAATCGTTTAGCGAGGAGACTTGCGGGCTGGAGAATGAGTTGAACGCTGAGCTCAAGGGAGGCCTGGGGCGTCTTTCCAAGGTGGCCTGTTGGGGAAAGAAGATGGACACATCTTTCTGAGGCCATGCATCTCGGCTTGTCTCTGGCCCGTGGGGGGCAGAACTCAAGGGAAGCAGCAGCAGCTTATGGGGGGTTGGCCAAAAGACCCCTCTGAGCTCCATGGACACAAGGGATGGTCATGCAACAGACAGCACCCAAGAACAGGAACCCTATCTTGGTTTGATAGGATGGCCTAGTTCCCACAGCAGGCCAAGCCCATGGCTAGTTTCTCCAAGCATGCTTATACTGTCTAACCCAGGGGTAGGCAACCTCGGCTCTTTTATGACTCATGGACTTCAACTCCCAGAATTCCTCAGCCAGCATGGGGGAACTATGGCCCCCTCATGACTCGTGGACTTCAACTCCCAGAATTCCTGAGCCAGCATGGGGGAACTATGCCCCCCCCCCATGACTCGTGGACTTCAACTCCCAGAATTCCTGAGCCAGCATGGGGGAACTATGGCCCCCTCATGACTCGTGGACTTCAACTCCCAGAATTCCTGAGCCAGCATGGGGGAACTATGGCCCCCTCATGATTCGTGGACTTCAACTCCCAGAATTCCTGAGCCAGCCTGGCTCAGCTTGGAAACCTCTCCCTTTCCCCTCAGCATGGCTGGCTCAGGAATTCTGGGAGTTGAAGTCCATGAGTCATAAAAGAGCCGAGGTTGCCTACCCGTGGTCTAACCTGAGTCTTTTCCAAAAGACAGCTTAGATTTCTTAGATTTTCCTTGGAAAAAGCTTCATTTCTTGGTCCAAGATGTCTATGGAGATTCTCCATCATCCAGGTCCTGGTTGTCCCCAAGCTGCTTTTTCCAGGAGGCAACTGGACTTCCTTGTTTTTCTTTGAAGACGTTTCCCTTCTCATCCCAGAAGCTTCTTCAGCTCTGACGGGATGGTGGGGAATGGAAAGATTTATACTCCTTGCAGACAGCCGGTCATTTGCATCCTTTCAGAGAGTCGTTGAGGCCACTTGGAGGTTTGTCTGCAAGGAATATAAATCCTTCCGTTCCCCACTGTGGGAAGTCAGCCCCCCCCTGAAAAGGGCAGAATATTATATTTCCTCAAAGGATCTTAAAGAGGCAACTCTCCCTCCCCCAAGCAGAAACCATCTCTGTAGAAATGCAGATGTGATAATCCATTTCAATAAACCGCAACCTTCTTTCTAAAGCAGTCTCCATGTTGTCTATTCCCGGCTTGGACTGGACCCTGATGAAGATTTTTTCATTCAACACCACCATCCAGTCAGAGCTGAAGAAGCTTCTGGGATGAGAAGCGAAACGTCTCCAGAGAAAAACAAGGAAGTCCAGTGGCCTCCTGAAAAAAAGCACCTTTGGGATTCTGAAGCTGAAGAAGCTTCTTAGATGAGAAGTGAAACGTTTTCAAGGGGAAAAAAAAACCAAGACGGTCCAGTTGCCTGGTGAAAAAAGCACCTTTGGGACAACCCTGCCCTAGAGCAGGGCTTTTCAACCTTTTCACCCATTGTACCACTTTTAGCATATGGCAACATCCGAGTATCATCAGTCGCCTAGCAAGGTGTCAAAAAGATGATCAAAAAAATAAAAGGAAAAAAGTGATGAAGTACAGGTAGTCCTCGACTTACAGCAGTTCGCTTAGTGACTGTTCGAAGTTACAGTGGCACTGAAAAAAGTGCCCCCCCAATCCACAGCTGAGCAAGACACCTGCCTGCCCGCCCGGCCGCGCTCTTCCTCCTGTCCGAGGTTTTCATTGTTGTGAGCATTTCTGTTGAGGATTGGCAGAGGGGGTGGGGTGGGGGGTGTTTGGTTTTTATTCCCCCCGTCTGCTGGGTGGTTGCAGCAGGTTTTGGTCACTTCACGTGACCCTGGGACACTGTGACCGTCATAAATATGAATCAGTTGCCAAGCATCTGAATGTAAATCACAAGACCCTGGAGAGGCTGCAACGTTCCAGCTGATCGGCGCTTCTTCTGGGCTCAGCACAAGCGCCAGGATCAGTGCTGCTTTCCAACTGATTGGTCTTCTTCAGGACTCAGCAGAAGCACCAGGATCAGTGCCGAGCTCCAGCTGGAGCCTGGCACTGATCCTGGCGCTTCCGTTCAGCCCCGACAGCCCTGCAGCTCCAGCCGTCTCTCGCTCAGGCTTGTGCGGTGCTGCCACCGATTCAGCTCATTCCCCTCCCCAGCTACCACTTGTCTAGGATGGTCGCGTACCACCTGCCAGGTGCCCATGTACTACAGATGGTACCCGTACCACTGGTTGAAACGCCCTGCCCTAGAGGATGGAGAACCTCCATCAACATGTGTCCAACGTGAGTTTAGCTTTGGCAACTGCAATAGGCTCCAAATTTGCAAGGTTTGGTTGATGTCACCTTCACCATAAAATAGAATTGATGTGTCTAGTTGGGTCTGGTGGCTAGGCTGACAGAAACCCGCGCAAGGTCGTCACTCAAGCTGCCTTGCAAAACATCCCCATTCTGATGACCGCTGTTGGCACCGAGCAACACCCTAGGGCAGACATGTCAAACACAAGGCCCGGGGGCCGGATGCGGCCTGCGAAGTGGTTTCATGTGGCCCGCGAAACCATCCTGGAAACAGTGAGGGAACGGCCCCCGCTGCCTTGGCCCTGGCCCAGCCCGCCCGGGAGCCAATGTACAATTTTGTGGTGGCCGTCTATGCTGAAGCGCATTCAGTCTTAGCTCCATAAGCCCCCCCCCGCACGGCCTGAGAGGAACAGTGAGGCTCCTCCAATGGACCATGCCTTGGCGCTTGCCCCGGTCCCACCCCCTTCTGCCAGAGACCCTCAGATCTGTCCCACTCCTGCCCAGGCCCCCACTGGCCCCCTTGACGTGAACGATGTAGAGCTGGCAATGCCCACCCAATAGGCCACACCCACTCCCTCCACGCCCACCCAGTAGGCCACACCCACCCTGGCCACACCCACCCGGACCCCTGAGGGCAACCGCAATGCTGATGCGGCCCTCAATGAAATTGAGTTTGACACCCCTGCCCTAGGGCAGAGGTGGCGAACCTATGGCACGTGTACCAGAGGGTGGCACTCAGAGCCCTCTCTGCGGGCACGCCCCGGAGATGGCAACGGTCCCTCTTCAAGCAGCCGCCTGCTAACTTGCCGAGGTCCCACGTAGCCGGATGCATCCCGGCACGGCTGGTTTCCCTCCCTCCCCCCCTCCCGTCCCTCCTGGGCTGGCATGCTCTCCTTTTCATGGGCACGACCCACTGCATCGCCTCTTCAGCTGTTGGCCAGCCATCCAGCTCATAGGTGACTTCTTTGAACTGCTGGCAGCGGGCTACGGAACCCCAGAGTGCGTCGGTCGAGGGGCCAGCAGGCTGTGGCTGCTGACGGACATCATCGGCCCCCGTGCGCTCGCTGGCCACTGTGTGTGGGGACCGATGGCGTCACGCAGCAGTTGCCCCGGCTCTTGCCTTGCCCCATGGCAATGGCACCCCCGCCCCGCCTCGCACCTGCCTACCGCCCCACCTGTCAGAGACCCCCTGGATTTCCCCCAATCCTGCCCGCCCCCCACAGGCATCCCTCCCCACGAGCAACATTGAGGTGACCACACCCACCCAATCTGCCATGACCACCACAGCCACACCCACCCAGTGGGTCATGCCCACCCAACATCGGTGATAAATAAGTGGGTTTTGGGTTGCAGTTTGGGCACTCGGTCTCTAAAAGGTTCGCCATCACTGCCCTATGGGGCCGGCTTGAGAACCTGGCCTGCATCCACCCAGCCCCCCCCCCAAAAAATCACCCTTCTCACAGCCCCTGCTCCGACCTCTTGGTTACCTCTGTTTTGCTGCAGCGGTTCAAAGTCAGGCGGCGCAAAGGCCGGGCAGGGCGGAAGGGACCCAGGGCTCCGCTCTCCGGCCCCCTCCCCTGGGTGGACGCCGGGAGGTCCCCCTCCTTTTCTAGGGAGTCTGTTTTCAGAGGGAATCCATCTGCAAAAGACAAGGGGGGGGGTTGGTAGAGGCCAGGCCTGGGGTGATCAACAAAGCCGTTCTTTTCCTTGGCGTTCCAAGAACCGAGCCAGCGCTAAAAAGGAGGAGGTGTTAGCAGGAGCAGGAGCAGGAGCAGGAGGAGCAGGAAAGAACTGTGGGGTCCTTGGTGCTCTCTGAGCTTGGCTGTTTTCTTGCAGACGTTTCATTATCCAGCTAGGTAACATCATCAGTGCGAGAAGGGAGTGGGGTTTGTGGAGAGGAGGAGGAGGAGGAGAAAAGGGGGAGAAGGAGGAGGACTATGAGGTCCTTGGTGCTCTCTGAGCTGCGTGGTTAATAATAATAATAATAATAATAATAATAACAACAACAACAACAACAACAATAATAATACAATTGTTAATAAGAAAGAAAAAAAAGTCTGGATAGTGGACATGGCAGTGCCTGGAAACAGCAAAATAGACGAGAAAGAACTGGAGAAGATCACAAAATACTAAGACCTACAAATAGAAATAGAAAGACTGTGGCAAAGGCAAGCAAGGGTGGTACCAATAGTCATAGGCGCCTTGGGTGCAATCCCAAAACAACTGGAGCACCACTTGAACACCATCATCGGCATTGACAAATTCTCCATTAGTCAATTGCAAAAGGCAGCCTTACTAGGAACCGCTTCCATCCTGCGACGAGATCTGTAATACCATCAAATATCCACATCTGCCTATCCCAGGTCCTTGGGAAGGACTCGATAGGTAGACAAAAATGCCAAATCTAGTCTGAACATCTGGCTGACTGTGCGATGATCCATAATAATAATAATAATAATAATAAAGTTGGAAGGGACTTTGGAGGTTATCTAGTCCAACCCCCTGAGGCAGGAAACCCTATACCATTTCAGACAAATGGCTGTCCAGTCTCTTCTTAAAAACTTCCAGTGTTGGAGCATTCACCGCTTCTAGAGGCAGGTTATTCCACTGGTTAATTGTTCTCACTGTCAGGAAGTTTCTCCTTAGTTCTAAGTTGCTTCTCTCCTTGATGAGTTTCCATCTATTTTGCTTCTTGTCCTGCCTTCAGGCGCTTTGGAGAACAGCTTGACTCCCTCTTCTTTGGGGCAGCCCGAGATACTGGAACACTGCTATCATGTCCCCCCTCGTCCTTCTCTTCGTTAAACTGGACATACCCAATTCCAGCAGCCGTTCCTTGTTATGTTTTAGCCTCCAGTCGCCTAATCATTTTTGTTGCTCTTCTCTGCACTCTTTCTAGAGTCTCAGCCTATTTTTTACATCGTGGTGACCAAAACTAGATGCAGTATTCCAAGTGTGGCCTTACCAAGGCCTTGTAAAGTGGTATTAACTCTTCATGTGATCTTGATTCTATCCCTGTTAATGCAGCCTAGCACTGTGTTGGCCTTTTTGGCAGCTGCAGCACACGGCTGGCTCCTATTTAAATGATTGTCCACTAGGACTCTGAGGTCCCTCTCACAGTTGGTACTATTGAGCAAGGTACCCCCTATACTATACCTGTACATTTGGTTTTTCTTGCCTAAATGTAGAACCTTACTTTTTTCACCATTGAATTTTGTTAGATAGCGCCCAGTGTTCAAGTCTGTCCAGATCCTCCTGTATCCTAAGCCTGTCTTCTGGAGTGTTGGCAGACGTTTCTTGCAGACGTTTCATGACCCAACTAGAGGACTTCATTAGTGCTAGAAGAGAGTGGGGATGTGGGGGGGGGGAAGAGGAGGAAGAAGAGGACTGTGGGGCCCTTGGAGCTCTCTGAGCTTAGCTGTTTCCTTGCAGACGTTTCATTATCCAGCTAGGTAACATCATCAGTACTAGAAGGGAGCAGGATTTGTATTGTTTAAATACAAATGGATGTTTATATACAACAACCTCTGTCCCCCCACCTCCATCCTAGCAGTCTTGCTCACCTGACAGGTAGCTCACCTCTTCCAGCTTCTCCAGCTCATGCAGGAGGCCCACCTCACCTTCTCTGCAAAGAGGGACAAAAACAAAGAAGAGATTTGGGGAGCTGCATTTCCAGGATCCGTGCAAGCAGCTTGGGAAAAAGTATCGCCCGTTTCTTTAAGGCCCGTTTTCCAGAAGCTTGCAATAGAATGCCCCCCCCCCACAAAGGTGCTTTTTCAGGAGGCAACTGGACTTTGTTTTTCCTGGAAGAGGTTTCGCTTCTCCTCAGAGAAGCTTCTTCTGAAGAAGAACTAAAGAAGCCTCTTGGAGGAGAAGCGAAACCTCTTCAAGGAAAAAAGAAAGGACGGAGGAGAGACTGTAGGCATCACAATAGAATTCTTTCCGTGTCAATGCTAAGACAGACTCATAAACACCACTGAAATGCAATTCATAAAGAAAAATTATCCTTCGTCTAATCCATCTTTCTTTCTTTTTTCTCTTTCTTTTCTCTTTCTTCTATCCTCTATCTAATCTATCTATCTATCTAATCTATCATTTTTTCTCTCTACCTACCTACCTTTCATCTATCCTCTATCATCTATCGGTCCATCATTCATCTAGCTGTCTGTCTGTCTGTCTTTCCTTTCTCTCTCTCTTTCTCTCATCTATCATCTATCTACCATCTATCTGTCTATCTATCTATCTATCTATCTGTCTGTCTGTCTGTCTGTCTATCTATCTATCTATCATTTCTCTCTCCATCATCTGTCTGTCTGTCTGTCTGTCTGTCTGTCTGTCTGTCTATCTATCTATCTATCTATCATTTCTCTCTCCATCATCTGTCTGTCTGTCTGTCTATCTATCTTTCTATCTATCATTTCTCTATCTATCTATCTATCTATCTATCTATCTATCTATCTATCTATCTATCTATCTATCTATCTATCTCTATCATTTCTCTCTCTCTATCCTCTCCATCATCATCCATCCATCCATCCATCCATCCATCCATCTATCTATCTAATTTATTTGCCGCCCGTCTCATATCCAAGGACTCTGATGAAAACCCAGCAACTGAAAGAACCTGGCCTTGACAGAGCAGCGTGGAGGGGAGCCCCGGCCTATGAAGTCACCCAGACACAACTGAACAGTTAAAACCACAACGCAACAGAATCCTTCCAATGTCTCAATGCTAAGACATACACATCACGGAGCCTGCAATTCAGAAACAAAACTAGAAGTTTATGAAAATTGCCACCAGTGCATTCACCCCCCCCCCCTCCAGTTTCCTACCTTTCAGGGGTGGAGGTAACCCGGCCGCGCTTGGCTGGCTGAAGCCCCGCTTTGCAAGCAGGGCTCTCTGGAGCCTTGTGGGGAAGGGGCAAAGGCGCCCGGAGGGGTCTCCGTGTCCTGTGTCTCAAAGCGGGGCAGCAGATTCTTTCGAGGAGAACGTTGACTGCAAGGAAGGAAGAAATGAAAAAGGTTGTTCCTTGTATTTCTGGTCCACCTAGAATTCACGTTTAAAACTTCTACGTTTTTGGTTCCAATCCTGCTTTGGACATGAAAGCTGGCTGGGTGACCTTGGACCAGGAGACGGTGAGTTCTAGTCCTGCCTTAGGCACAAAAGCCAACTGGGTGAACTTGTACCAATCACCAGGAGACAGTGAGTTCTAGTCAAAAGCCAACTGGGTGACTTTGGGCCAATCACCAGGAGACAGTGAGTTCTAGTCCTGCCTTAGGCACAAAAGTGAACTGGGTGACCCTGAACCAATAACCAGGAGACAGTGAGTTCTAGTCCTGCCTTAGGCACAAAAGTGAACTGGGTGACCTTGAACCAATAACCAGGAGACAGTGAGTTCTAGTTCTGCCTTAGGCAGGAAAGCCAACTGGGTGACTTTGGGCCAATCACCAGGAGATGGTGAGTTCTAGTCCTGCCTTAGGCACAAAAGCCAAATGGATGAACTTGTACCAATCACCAGGAGACGGTGAGTTCTAGTCAAAAACCAACTGGGTGACTTTGGGACAATCACCAGGGAAGTCCTGACACATCAGAAGGGATATGGGGCCGAGTTCACAGATTGGGCAAAACCCTGGCGCATGAAATAAAGTTCCACATCATCAGCTAGGCTAAAACCAGAACATGCCAACTTGCCTGCCACAGACAATGCCAAGAGGCCCGTGAGCGACGTGAACCCCAAGGAAACGGTGTGGTGCAGCTCAAAGAGGGCGTTTGCCACAACCACAACCAGCAGCAGGGCACGGGATGCGCCCGGGATCTGCAGGAAAGTCATGATGAGCGCAGCCAGGAGGAAATAGAGCACGTGCAAGACGCAGGTGTAGACAGAACTCAAGCTGAACCCTGCAAAACACGGGAGACGCAAGGTTTTCCATCCGGGGTTGTGGTGTGGGCTTCTGCTTAGTGTCACAGAGTCACACTCAACTTGGGGAGATTGGCAAACTCAGCCAGGAGGATTAAGAAGGTGTTAAATCACGTTTTCCCATCTGCAAGGCCTCGTTGTTTTGGTTGTTTTCTTGCAAACGTTTCATTAACCAACTAGGTAACATCATCAGTGCTCGAAGGGGGTAGAGTTTGCAAAGATGAGGAGGAGGAGGAGGAGGAGGAGGATGACTGTGGGGTCCTTGGTGTTCTCTGAGTTAGATTTCTTTCTTGCAGACATTACCAAACTAGGTAAGATCATCAGTTCTGGTGCTGTATAGTATAGCTAGAGTAGTTTACACTACAATAGTGTAGCTAATGTAGTGCTAGCTACAAACAGCTTGTCTATCTGTCTGCATTGTAAATGGATGTCCTTTTTTCACGGAACCTCAGAAACTGGAAAGCAGATTTGGTGAAGGTATATTTCTCCAAATCAAATTTTGAAATACGTCTGCTGTTTCTCCCTTTGAAAATATTGTGGAAAAGGTTGGGTAATCCAGTATCGGGGTGTTTAACGGCCCTTATTAATTCAGCCCTTTTGTTTTTGAATCTGAGGAGAACTTTCAGCAAACAAAGGGCAAGAAACTCCAGATAACTTGTAGAGCAGTGACTTTCAACCTCGGCAGCTTCAAGCGGTGTGGACTTCAACACCCAGAATTCCACAGCCAGTTATGCTAGCTGGGGGATTCTGGGAGTTGAAGTCCACACACCTTCAAGTTGCCAAGGTGGGGAAAAAGGATGTAGGTCAGGGGTAGGCAACCTGGGCTCTTTTGTGACTCGTGGACTTCAACTCCCAGAATTCCTGAGCCAGCCATGCTGAGGGGAAAGGGAGAGGTTTCCAAGCTGAGCCATGCTGGCTCAGGAATTCTGGGAGTTGAAGTCCACCAGTCATGAGGGGGCCAAAGTTTCCCCATGCTGGCTCAGGAATTCTGGGAGTTGAAGTCCACAAGTCATGAAGGGGCCATACTTTCCCCCATGCTGGCTCAGGAATTCTGGGAGTTGAAGTCCACCAGTCATGAGGGGGCCAAAGTTTCCCCATGCTGGCTCAGGAATTCTGGGAGTTGAAGTCCACAAGTCATGAAGGGGCCATACTTTCCCCCATGCTGGCTCAGGAATTCTGGGAGTTGAAGTCCACGAGTCATGAAGGGGCCAAAGTTTCTCCCATGCCTTCTCAGGAATTCTGGGAGTTGAAGTCCACGAGTCATGAAGGAGCCAGTTTCCCCCATGCTGGCTCAGGAATTCTGGGAGTTGAAGTCCACGAGTCATGAAGGAGCCACAAGGTTGCCTACCCCTGATGTAGGTATATCAAATACATAACTTTCCTTTCAGGGATGTTGTCACAACACACAGAAAACCAGGCGGAGCGCCAATTGTGCCACAGCGGCTGCCATCTTGACTTTTATGACCGTATCCTGGGGTTACTTTGTGTCTTTTTCAATTGATGGCAGACCCGTTGCTCAAAGGTAGCCTTACCTGCCCAAGTTATGAATCTCTGGATGTGCTGCAATCGCCCCTCCACCTTGGTCTGCATGAGCTCCATGGTTTGAAGGGCCAGCCCAAACGTCTCGTTCATCTTCCTCAGTTTCCCCAGTAACTCATCGTGGTACAAAGTGGTTTGCTTCTGATGGGCCAGGAACAAACCCACATTGGTATCTGGAAGAAGAGAAAGCAGGTCTCAGGGCCAATGGAAAGGAAAGCGGACCTCAACTCAACGGAGTCTGCTCCAGCCTCGAGTTCTTCCAAGCATGGTAGACTTCCATCACTACCACACTATGTAAGAACGAGAGGACTGTGGGGTCCTTGGTGCTCCCTGAGCTGGGTGCTTTCCTTGCAGATGTTTCATTACCCAACTAGGGAACATCATCAGTGCTAGAAGGAAGTGGGATTGGCAGAGAGGAGGAGGGAGGAGGAGGAGGACTGTGGGGTCCTTGGTGCTCCCTGAGCTTAGTGGACTGGAGGCTAAAACATAGAAGGAATGGCTGCTGGAATTGGGTCTGTCTAGTTTAAAGAAGAGAAGGATGAGGGGGGACAGGATAGCAGCCTTCCAGTATCTCAGGGGCTGCCCCAAAGAAGAGGGAGTCAAGCTATTCTCCAAAGCGCCTGAAGGCAGGACAAGAAGCAACGGGGGGAAACTAATCAAGGAGAGAAGCAACCTAGAACTAAGGAGAAATTTCCTGATAGAACAATTAACCAGTGGAACCACCTGCCTCCAGAAGCTGTGAATGCTCCAACACTGGAAGTTTTTAAGAAGAGACTGGACAGCCATTTGTCCGAAATGGTATAGGGTTTCCTGCCTGAGTAGGGGGTTGGACTAGATGACCTCCAAGGTCCCTTCCAACTCTTGTTATTCTTTTTTTCCCTTCCTTCCTTCCTTCCTTCCTTCCTCCCTCCCTCCCTCCCTCCCTCCCCCAACATTGGAAGTTTTTAAGAAGAGACTGGACAGCCATTTGTCCGGAATGGTCTAGGGTTTCCTGCCTAAGCAGGGGGTTGGACTAGATGACCTCCAAGGTCCCTTCCAACTTTATTATTATTATTATTATTATCTTCAGTACTAGAAGGGAGTGAGATAGACTGAGAAGAGGAGAAGGAGGAGGAGGAGGGGAAGGAGGACCAGAAGGAGGAGGAGGAGGAGAACTGTGGGGTCCTTGGTGTTCCTTGAACTTAGTGGTTTCCTTGCAGATGTTTCATTACCCAACTCGGTAACATCTTCAGGACTAGAAGGGAGTTGGGTTTGTGGAGGAGGAGGAGGAGGAGGAGGAGGAGGAGGTGGTGGACGTCTTGGTGCTCCCTGAGCTTGGTGGTTTCCTTGAAGACATTTCATTACCCAACTAGGTAACATCATCAGTGCTAAGCTGGAGAGCAATGGAGTTTGAATGTCCCTACCACAAACCTAGTTTGGAGTAGACTTCTTGAGCCCGTCTTTGGACTTGACTCAGGTCCCTCAGGATGGACTGATGTCCTTCTTGAAGCTCCACATCCTGTTGGTTCAGATGACTGCTGACATTTTCTGCCAAAAAAGAAACAGAGGCGGCATTGGGAATTCTTGTCTCAGTGGATTTTGGTTAAAGAACGCACAGGGTTCCGTTCTAGTCTTACTGACAGAAAAATATTTGTAGCTCAGGGTGGAAGTGAGGGGTCCTTCGCGCTCTTTGGGTTTGGTAATTGTCTTGCAGATATTTCATGACCCAACTAGGTAACATCATCAGTGTTTGAAGGGGGTAGGGTTTGCAAGGAGGAGGAGGAGGAGAAAGAGAAGGAGAAAGAGAATAACACCAACTGTAGGGTCCTTCGTGCTGTCTGAGCTTGGTGGTTTTCTTGCAGACGTTTCATCACCCAACTAGGGAACACAATCAGTGCTACAGGGGAGTGGGATTTGCAGAAGGGGGAGGAGGCGGAGGAGGAGGAAATGACTGTGGGGTCCTTGGTGCTCTCTGACCTTGGTGGTTTTCTTGCAGACGTTTCATGACTCAACTTGATAACATCATCAATGCTAGAAAGTACAATTGTCCCTCCCTTCTAGCACTGATGATGTTCCCTAGTTGGGTCATGAAACACCTGCAAGAAAACCAGCAAGTCCAGAGAGCACCAAGGACCCACAATTCCACTCTTTTAGGCCGTACTTAGTCCGTAAAAGTCTTGAGCTCATTGGGATGGAAGGAGACTTTACCACTAGTCCTCAACGTATGACCATTAGTTCAACCACTTTCCAAAGTGACGATGGTATTAGGAAAAAAAAAGTGACCGGACCTCAGACATATGACCACGGCACCATCCTTTTGCAGCCATGTGATCCAAATTCGGGCACTTGGAACCGGCATGCCTTGAATGACAGTTGCAGCATCTTTTTGCGGCCACGTCGTCGCCATTCGTGACTTCCCCAGCCGGCTTCCAACAAGCCAAGTCAAAGGGTTTGCTTAGTGACTGTGTGACTCACTTAACAACCAGAACAAAAAGGTCATGACATCGGGGCACGATTCATTGAAGAACCACCCTGCTTAGCAATGGAATGCCGATGGTGGTCGTATGTCGAGGACTATTTGGAGGACGGTTGGAGGGCCCCCTCCCCGAGCATCCTTGGTCCCGGCTCTCACCCATCCTGCGTGTGATGCCCTCCAGCAGCTCGGCCACCTCCCGCTGCCCGCTGGCAATCAGGGCCTTCTCCTGGACCAGGCGCTCCAGATTGCCAGAGAGAGCTTCCTCCATCTGCGCCTGGCCGCCTCGCAGCGTCTCTTGCTGGCTGAGCAGCCCCTCCTGGGCGCTGACCACCCTCTGCAGGGACTCCGCCGTGAGCTGCTTCAGCTCCTCCTGGCTCCTCTGTCCGCGGGGTGGGGGAAAAAACACAGAAAATAAAAATAAAGCTCGGAAGTGGACGAGCGTCGCTTTTTCAGCTTCCTTTTGGTAAACACGTCATTGCATCCCTCGTTGTACCCATCGTTCGTAGGGTGTGTTTTCAAAATACAAAACACAGGGAGTCCTCGCCTTAGCGACCGTTCGAAGCTACAACGATGGCACTGGAAAAAGTGACTTCGGGCCGGTTTTCACCCTCGCAACCCCTTGCAGCATCCCTCAGGGTCCCGTGATCAAAATCCAGAGGCTCGGCAACTGGCATGTACTGTACTTAGGACGGTTGCCCTATCGCGCGATCCCCTTTTGCAACTTTCTGACACGCAAAGTCAATGGAGGAAGCCAGATTTGCTTAACGATCGGGTTACTGATTTAACCCCTGCCACGATTCACTTAACAATGGTGGCAAGACAGATCGTAAAATTGGGGCAAAACTCACTACACAGCAGAAACGTTCGGCTCAATTGTGGTCGTAAGGTGAGAACTGTGTCAAGGTAATGATTTAGAACCTAACCAGGGTGATGGGAATGACTCAGCAGGGTCTGTGTCTCTTTAAGAGCCAGCAAGGTCTGTGTCTCTTTGAGCCAGCAGGGTCTGTGTCTCTTTAAGAGCCAGCAGGGTCTGTGTCTCTTTAAGAGCCCTTGTATAAAGGGTAGGCTCTGCAGATGTGTTGTCTCTCTTCCATTTCCTGGTGTAACTGGTGTTTGTTGGATCCTGCTGTATTAACACGTATATGTATATTGTTCCTGGTATATGATATTGTAAGTGTAAGATAAACCACCATTTAATATAGACCACTGTTTACTGTGTTTACTCTTGGTTTATCTCGCACAGTAAGACTGTGCATGCTTTACCTGCATATATTTAGAGATTGTTGTGAACTTGAGTGCTGCTGTTTTCCTCATTCATCCCTGCATGCCTGCATCCATGCACGCATGCACACATACACACCCCAGACAAAAAGAGAGGACCACAACAGTGGGTCAATCCGAACCTTGAGCGTTTCCATGGCTTCCAACTGGCCCACGGCGGTAGAGACCAGGGCGTTCACCATATGCTGCGCCCGGCGCTTGAATTCCACCTGGCGGGTGGCATAGCAGACGGCCCGGGCTCGGTTGCTGATAATGTGATAAGCGTTCCAGGTATCCGGATCCATCCCGGCTGTGCATTCCGCCAGACTCTTTGGCATGGAAAAGAAGAAAGGAACAATTAACCAGTGGAACCACCTGCCTCCAGAAGCGGTGAATGCTTCAACACTGGAAGTTTTTAAGAAGAGACTGGACAGCCACCTGTCTGAAATGGTATAGGGTTTCCTGCCTGAGCAGGGGTTGGAGTAGATGACCTCCAAGGTCCCTTCCAACTAACAACAACAACAACAACAATAATAATAATGTTGTGAATACTCTAATACTGGAAGTTTTTAAGAAACTGGACAGCCATTTGTCTGAAATGGTATAGGGTTTCCTGAGCAGGGGTTGGACTAGATGACCTCCAAGGTTCCTTCCAACTATATTATTATTATTATTATTATTATTATTATTATTATTATTATTATTATTATTATTAATAATAATAATAATGTTGTGAATACTCTAATACTGGACATTTTTAAGAAGAGACTGGACAGCCATTTGTCTGGAATGGTATGGGTCTCCTGCTTGAGCAGGGGGTTGGACTAGATGACCTCCAAGGTCCTTTCCAACATTATTATTATTATCATTATTGTTGTTGTTGTTATGATAATTTAATACAATAATAATAATATTAACAATAACAATAAATTATTATTATTATATTGTTATTATTATTATTATTATTGATGATGATGATGATGATGATGATGTTGTGAATACTCCAATACAGGAAGTTTTTAAGAAGAGACTGGACAGCCATTTGTCTGAAATGTTCCAGGTTGCTTCTCTCCTTGATTAGTTTCCATCCGTCGCTTCTTGTCCTGCCTTCAGGGGCTTTGGAAACTAGGTGGACCCCCTCCTCAAATACTGGAATACTGCTATCCTGTCCCCCCTGGTCCTTCTTTTCTCCAGACTAGCCATACACAAATCCTGCAACCATTCTTCATATGTTTTAGTCTCCCTTTAGTCATCTTTGTCGCCCTTCTCTGCGCTCTTTCCAAAGCCCCAACATCTTTTTCTATAGGGTGGGGACCAAAACATGATGCAGTATTCTCGGTATGGCCAGGGGTGCCTACCTACCATGTCCTCAGTGCACAGGTAAGTCCTCCGTCCTTCGGCACCGGCCTGGCAGTTGAACAGCCCCACTCCCAGCTTGGCCAGTTCCTCTTCCGCCAGATCTGCGCAGGTTGTGTGAAGTTGGGAAATGACCTGGAGAAAGGAGAAGCAAAAAGGCCCCACATCAATTCAGGGGTTGGGAAACAGCACGGAGAGGAGGAAGAAGAGGAGGAGGAATAGTACAGGGCAGTCCTCGAGTTACGACCGCAATCCAGTGCAAAGTTTCCACCGCTGAGCAAGTAGACATTCGTTAAAGGAGCTTCGTCCCGTTTTAGGACTTTTCTTGGCGCAGTTGTTAAAGTGTGGGTTGTTAGTTACACGGTTGTTAAGTGAATCCGGCTTCCCCCCCCATTGACTATGCTTGTCAGAAAGTCGCAAAAGGGGATCACACCATCCCGGGAGACTGTGACCGTCATAAGTAGGAGTCGGTTCCCAAGCACCCAAATTTTAATCACACGTTCATGGGGATGACATCATAAGGGTAAGAACCAGGCTTAAATCGTTTTGTTCAGTGCCGTTGTTGCAGTATCGGTCACTTAACAAACGGTCGTAAGTGGGGGACTGCTTGTATATACACACACACACCCCGTCTGCAAAGCGCCAGAGACCTTGTGATGGCAGGAATCCAGAAGGGACAGATCCACCGGCTGAGCCTCGGCTAGGAACCGCTCGTC